AAATACAACATCGTGAACTTGAACGAAAGGTTGAGTGAATCGTCTGCTTTTTTACCTCGATGCAGAGATTAGAGGGAAAAAACTTTTATCTTATTTTTTAAAACTTTTTTATGTCAATAACTTGGTATCTCCGTTATGACTCTTATTATTCAGTAATCATGACGTCATTATTTGGTAAGTATTTTTATTTTGATATTTTGTACTCAATGTTGCGGTTTCTGGAACCTACAAACTAAATGTTTATATTTTGAGAGGCAACGCGGATTTTCGGTATTTGATTGTACAGTCAAAAGTCGTTAATTCGGACACCCATAATCCGGACCTCAAAGCTAAAATCTTTCTGCGCATGCGCCGCAATGACGCATGCGCATAGGCGTTTACGCGTGCGTGCAAGACCTTTACGACTGCGCATATGCATCTGCGCAAGCGCAGAATACGTTTTCGCGTGCGTGTTTAATGTATAACGGACAGTATAAGCTAAAATTATCTAATTATCTATTTCAGTTAATGTTGATGATTGCGTTGTTCCTTAATCTTCGAATTGGATCCGGTTTATTATTTTTTGCAGACTGTAAGAGCAATTTTATAAAAGTAAGCTTGAACTTTCGTTTATGTCAAATAGAACTTCCGATGATGGAGCTCCCAAAGGATCTAGAAAACGAAAGTATGTTTTGATGTCCATCAAAAAAAAAAAAAAAAAAAAAAAAAAAAAAAAAAGAATTGCTACAAAAAATGGATAAAGGCATATCCTTTGTTTATCTAACCATTCCAAAATCTGTTTATTAATTTCACGCTGCTCTGCGCTGGGGGGGGGATGTCACGGCGCGCAATGAACTGGAAGTTGATCTGTCAGCACTATCGTTATCTTCAGGGCAGATGTTTTTATTTGATTCGGCTTATAATTCCTTACTAAATGTAGTATTTAATCTCGATGTACTCCGTCTTTGATATGATTTAAATCAAATTCCTCGTCATTATAAATACCACGAATACAAATCAAATAGTTTTTTGGTTGCAATTTTCTAATTTCGGCTATGCGTAAGGTATGCTTTACGCATGCGCGCGTTGAAAGAAATGTTTAATAAAGTAAACAAATAAATATTAAGCTTCTTTTTTTTGTAAATTTTGATACCCTTTAGATCATAATTGCTCATTATTTTATAAATTAAGGTTTCATATTTTTAATTTTATAATTTCTGCATGCCCAGATTTAAATTGATGATCTATAATCCGGAAAAATCGATAATCCGGAATTGCCGAAGTCCCAACGAGTCCGGATTAAAGACTTTTGACTGTATTAATAAATATTTGCCAAATTCAATTAACATTGAGGAGCTAAAATTTTGTGAGCTAATATTTTAAAAACTACTTGTACAATTTTTACAAAACTTGGCATTCTGGCATCATTTGAGTCGTAGAATTAAAATATGGAAAAAAATTTTTATGTTAATTAAAAAAAAGTCCGATTCTGTGTCAAAATACCTATGTTAAGAATAGTGCAATATATAAATCTAATATATATCATAAGTCGCGTATTTGAGACATGAAAAACGCAGTTTGAATTTTGTCAATCGGCCCAGTAGAACAAGGGATATAGCACTGTCCCATTTTTTTTTGAGCAGTGTACATGACAAAAAAAAAGGGGGGGCATAGATACAACATCACTCTCACCTTTTGATTGAACGGTATTACAATCAAAACTCTTTTAACATCAGTATAAATCAACACAAAATGTAACCCCCCTTTTTTTTGACATACCAAAAAATATACTAAGTTATACAATAATATTATTAAAAATTAAAATTCAAATAATCTAGAGTTCACGTTCAGTTCTGTTGAAATTGCACAGGTAAATTTAACAGTCTTACCAATTCTAGTGGTTATCACATGTCTCATAGCCATCGGAATATCTGGAACCAAAGGACTTTTTGGATTGACAGTCAATGCATTTGGATCTAGCTCGGAAACAGTAAGAAACTGTTTCCCTTTCGGCATTTCTGTATCTAAAGTAATAGCTGTGTTAGTATCAGGAGAAAGTGAACTACATTCTATTTCTAATGGCTATATTTTCTGAAGTGGTCGAATATTCCTCCCATTGAAGTTTTCAGTCGTGCAACTTGGATGTTGACATCCTTCTCTGGATATAAAGATCTAGTACTTTAAAAGTACTTTTACTCGCCTTTTAAAGTCACTCTCAAGAAAGAACTATATTGCCAATGTAGATTTGGATATATTTTCTACCATCTTTGTACTATAGTATTGTCCAAGAGGTACTCCACATGAAATTGCTTTCCGAGATTTTCTCTCACTATTTGAAGGTATCTCCATTGTTTCTTTAAATCCTGTTTGCCAATTAGATCTGTATCTGTTACACCAACTGTCTCATGCCTTCCCTGTTTCTGTAGAAACAGGGAAGGCATCAGAGGAATGTGTTCATCGGGATCTTCAGAAATATATGTTAAAGTCTTGAATTGCAACAGCTTCACATTGACACAGGACGCTCATCAATTCTTCATAATTCAAAGAAGCTCTTCCTAAGACACGTCTTAATAGATTTTTCATGATTTTAATGAGGTAGACGTTCCTAAAATCCTACGCACAAAGCTCTGAGGGAGGATTGAACTTCTACTGCATTCTTTTAAATGTCACCTCTTATTTTACAACAGACCAATCAATGTATTGAAATAAATTTTTCCCACCAACAAAATTCAAATCGTTGTCACTATAGATGATTTCTGGACGACCATGTCGAGCAATGTAAGACTGTTGGGAACCAGTGTCTATAACAGCTCTTACTACTGTCCGTCTTTCACAAACTTCTATTGTAATTAACAATGTAGCAAAATCTCAGCAGAGCCACTGTAATTTGAAAGTGTCGAATCTGAATCACATTTATGATCTTCCACTGTTGACGATTTTAATTTATGCTTCACCTTAGAGCATATAATCGACCAGTGTATTTTTACCATAAATGATGCATTTAACATATATTTTGCAATCTCGGTAAATGAACTGGTTTCAAACACGAAAAACAACCTTTATTACTCTTTAAAATACTTTGTTTTTCTTCTAATGTAGGATTACGACCTTTAAAACAATCGTTGGGCTCATGAGCTTTCCCACAAAATAAACAATGCAAACCAGTTCCTTTCTTTACATTAGAAAGTAAATTAGCTGTAGGATATGATTTAACATCTTTGAATTTCATTTTTCTAGAAGACATATCATTTGGTTTAATCCCTACTTCCGCAAGTGAAACACGTTCTTCGCTTTCAACTTCTGTATGAAGGAACACCGATAACTGTGATAATTTATCAGAATAGGAAATTTTCACACTTATTCAACATGGGATTCCTTAGCCAAACTCTAAGTAGTTCTTCAGGTATGCAAGATTCAACTAAAGGGAACAACATAGCAAAATATTTATCAGAAGTCATACCAATAGACTCAAGTGACCTCTAATAAGATTCTAATTTGTCATAAAGCTGAACCATGTTATCTTTAGTTTTACCATTTTTAGCGCTTTTTACATCTAAATTCAAAAGTTTGTGCACATTAAATTCCACATGCAATTCTTCATGACCAAATCTTGTTTTTAAGCTTTCAATTGCTTTTCTGTAGTTTTCCGTGGTACAAGGGTAACTATGAATAATTTTTCTTTGCTCAACTACCAGGAGACATACACTGTATTAAATAATGGAATTTATTTACCTCCTCCAGTGATCTATCATCATGAGTTCTGTTAAACTGACTCCAAAAATAAAGCCTATTTTTTATTTCACTGCCCAACTTAACAAGCTCAATTTTTGAAAGCTTCAGTTTAGCCTTATCAGCATTAAAGGAAGCAGCATTTTGTTGTTGTAAATTAAAATTCTGCATCAAAAGCTTAACATGGGTTTTAATTTCATCAAATCTTTCTCTATAACTCTCTACTACTTCATACTCATCCATGTATTTTATTTCCGATTTATTATTAAGCAATAATTCCAATATTTTGCTAGCAAGAGCCATTAAATTATAAATGCCCTTCCCAAAGATGAAAATTTTGCTTCAATATTTTCAACAGTTATATCAGTATCTTCAAGTATTGCTTTTATGCTCTGATAAAGTTTTGCAAAGTTCGCCCTTACGAGCATTCTTTTCTTAATTATATTATTCATCATACAGTTCTTAACAAGCAAAAATGAATGAACTTCTCTAAATTTCAAATACAAATAAAAAAGCATAACTGACCTTTCAACTCAAATCATAAATCATGTCCAGATTCATTGCAATGCTATATTGCTTGTAAATTTGTACTTAGTTAAATGACTCCATCTTTTAATCCACTTATTTTATTTAAGCTTAACAGACCGTCAGCCCTCTCATGGCTGATTTTCTCATTGAACATAACAAAGATGATCTTGCCAATATGTAGAAGAGAAACTTATGCTGCAACGTCATGTACACGGCAAAGAGGGAAAAAAAAAAAAAAAAAAAAAAAAAAATAGCAGATGATGTCACAGTATTTCTATCCACAACAATATATAGTTTAATTATACATTATCTGGAATATAGAAGCATTGTTAAATCATTCATTAAAAATTGCTAAATTGTGATAATAACTTTTTTTAACTAACTAATTTTGATAGGTATCGGGGGAAATAGAAGATTTAGTGTGTAGCCACTAAATCTTCTATTTCCCCCGACACCTATCAAAATTTAAGAGTAATATAAACAAAAACATTACTTTTCCTGTTCTGAAGTGTGTTTTTGTTTTGAAATTTCTTTTTTTTTTAATTATTAATTCACAAAATAGCTATATGTTTTTATTCATAAAATTCTTATTTCTTTTACATAAGTATAAAACTTTATTATTATTATTATTATTTAAATTTTCCAAGAAGCTTATGTACAAAATTTTAAATTTCACTGTGATTAATCTTAAAAAATGTATATATAAGCTAAAATTTAAATTAAATTTTTAATATATCCTACAAGAAATAAAAATAAAGAAATACCTCATCAAAAGACCACACAGAGTCAATTCTAGGCTTTATTTTGCCTTCACTGTACAATTTCATGACATTACCCAAAGCTGCTCTAAAACTATCAGGATCATTGTCAAATAGAGTGTTGATACTGAGTCCACAAATAGCATGATTTCTTGTGATCATATTGAAAATATTGATATTTTTTGTTTGCCACCATACTTTAAGATTTTTTAGTAAACTCCTTTTCTCACCACTGATCATGTTACTAATCCCTGTTTAAAAGGGAGAAAAAAATAAAATAGTGAGTGAATCTACAGTATACAATGAATCAAGCAGCAACATTTAATTAAGAGAAAATAAAAATTAGAAATATTTCTAAAAAAAAATAAGGTTGTAATTTGTGATTGCTTAAATTACAGCACAGATTATACAATTATGTAATGCAGGTATATAAACTAGTTAAACCGTTTCACCACTAAAAGTATGAAACATGAACAAATTTAATGAGGCATAAAAGCTTAAGTTCTGAAGAATAAGTTTATTTCAAAGAAAATTTAAATTTGCATTTTATTACATGCATGTTCCATAATTCTTATCTTTTAAAAATTATCATATTTTTGACTAATTACCAACATTACAGTAAGAGATTAATGACATAGGTAAAATTGGCCAAATCACATAATATATACAAATTATTCTAAAATAGTGCAAACTGTCAACATTATAAAGGCCACATTTAATTTCTTTTCTGTATTCTCAGATTCTAAATATAATAACTGAATTTTAAAACTGTTAGCCTAATCTTAGTGAAATTCAACACAATTTAACATGCTTATATCATTTTCCCATCAATTATGAAAACAATCAGTATCTAATTAATGACCAGATTACACATCAAGCATTCATTAAATATACAGTAGAAGTCCAGAAATCCGCAAGGTTTGGGACCAGAGGTTGTGCGGATTTTAGGATTTTGCGGATTTCAGGACAGAAAAGATAAAGCATAATATTCAGACTAAAAGTGCAAAATAAATAAGGAGTATTAGATACATTAATTAAATTATTATTCACAATTGCAATAATTTATTAATGCATTTAATAATTATACATATATAAATTGATTATTATCATTGTATTATATGTACACAGCATCGAGGTTGCCGATTTCGCCTCATGCACAGATTTCTGGTTTTGAATTCCAATTAGAATCACTGTTGTGTAAAATTTTAACGCTTTTCTTTATTTTTCCGCATATCAACCAATGTTCGCAATCCATACCATTCTGCTATAAATCGAAGAGTAGAACCTGCTCCATCTTTTGCAGAATTTGCACTTTTACGCTACCGTCAAAGCAACGTGTTTCGTTTTTCAACGTTGCAAGGCAGTAAAATCATGAATGCGTTTCTTATCTGTCATTGTATTAAAAAGGGCTGAAATTTAAAATATTCTTAATTTATCCACAAAATATGCAGATAAAAAAAAAGGCAACACTAAACAATTTCGTGAAATAACAAAGCTCAGTATAAAGTACAAGAAGTACAAGAAGCAAGTACAAGAAGCTTGTTCTGTACAAAGTACAGAAAGTAAAATACAACAACGTGAATCATGAACTTGAATGAAGAGTTGAGTGAATCGTCTGCTTTTTTACCTCGATGCAGATTAGAGGGGGAAAAAAACTTTTATCTTATTTATTTTATCTTATTTTTTAAAACTTTTTTTATGTCAATAATTTGGTATTTCCATTATGACTCATTATTATTCGGTAAGTATTTTTTCTTTGATATTTTGTACTCAATGTTCCAGTTTCCGGAACCTATAAACTGAATGTTTATATTTTGAGAGGCGACGCGGATTTCAGGAGTTGGCGGATTTCAGGTTGGCGGATTTTCGTTATTTGACTCTATTACATCTTATGCAACAAAGTATCTCTGATGTACACAAGAAATTATTTTTAAGAATATAATTTTCTTTTTCTTTTTTTAATTAAAAAAGGAAGATTAAATTCTTTTTTTTAATTAAAGGGAATATTTCAGCTTTTTAAAGCTTATCATACAAAAAATAACATCAGCACACAATTTAAAATAATATTAGTTAGCAAGATACTAAGAATTTAATTCAGCAACAGAGCTCTTATTTTTTGCAGTTTAAAAGCATTTTATGATTATTTACTATTTTATTACCAGACCTGATTTTAAGAGCACAGCTTACACTGATATTTATTAATGAATTTTAATTGTAAAGTAATGCTGATAAGCAAAGGTATAGTTTATCTTAGACTATTTTTAGGATACAGTCAAAAGTCGTTAATCCGGACTCGTCGGGACTTCGGCGATTCCGGATTATAGATCATCAGTTTAAATCTGGTAAGATGGCATGCAGAAATTATAAAATAAAAATATGAACCGTATTTATGAAATAAAGAACAATTATGATCTAAAGGGTATCAAAATTTAAAAAAAAAAAAAAAAAAAAAAAAAAAAAAAAAAAAAAAAAAAAAAAAAAAAGCTTAATATTTATTTGTTTACTTTATTAAAAATTTCTTTCAATGTAAGTTGTTTAAGTTTGCTTCATTTTTTTATGTGATAATACATTCTCTTTAATTCTTTAAACAGACATAATTTCTTGTTCAGTTACAAAGTTCCGCTGTTCAAGTCCTATAATTGCTGTTCGAGAATACCGACTAATTTGTCAATTGAAATTTTTTCGTTTTCAATAACCTCTGTCACTTTCTTCGCTATCGGAAGCGAATTATAATGATGAGGAATTTGATTTAAATCATATCAAAGATGGAGTACATCGAGATGAAATACTACATTTAATAAGGAATTATAATCCAAATAAAATAAAAACATCTGCTCTGAAGATAAGGATAGTGTTGACAGATCAACTTCCAATTCATTGCGCAGCGCCGTGGCGTTAAAGATAAACTAAGTTTAGATAAACAAACGTTAAAGTTTATATAAACAAAGGATATGCCTTTATCCATTTTTTGTAGCAATTCCACTTTTTGTTTAATGAACTTCGAAACTTACTTTTGCTTTGTAGATTATTTACATATTAATAAATATATCAGAAATTCTATTTGACATAATCGAAAAGTTCAAGCTTACTTTTATAAAATTGCTCTAACAGTCTGCTAAAAATAATAGGCCGGGATCCAATTCGAAGATTAGGAACAACGGAATCTGCAACAAATTAACTGAATATAATAAATAATTTTAGCTTAGCTTATACCGTCCGTTATACATTAAACGCACACCTGTAAATGTATTTTGCGCACGCACACAAGCATATTCTCAGCCGTAAAGGCCTTACGCCCATGCGTCAACGCGACGCATGCGCAGAAAGTTTGAAGCTTTGAGGTCCGGATTATAGATCATTCCGGATTATGGGTGTTCGAATTAACGACTTTTGACTGTACTATATTTCTAGCTTTTTCCCAGATAAATGCCACTAAAAATGGAGCATATCTTAAAATCACGGATTTTCTTGAATACTTTTTCCAAGTTACTTAATTAAATAGATAAAATATTGTTCTAAATTGAAGCTGATTATTTAAAACTCTCTGCTAGATCAAAGTAGGAGAGAAACATGCAATATATTTTATCTGTTGTATCTTTTCCATGCTATTTATGTCATTACAGTCAAAAGTCGTTAATTCGGACATCCATAATCCGGACCTCAAAGCTAAAAACTTTCTGCACCTGCGCCGCGTTGACACATGCACATAGGCGTTTACGCGTGCGCTAAGACCTTTACGACTTGCATGTGTGTGTGCACAAGCGCAGAATACGTTTTTGCGTGCGCTTTTAATGTATAACGGACGGTATAAGCTAAAATTATCTATTTCAGTTAATGTTGATGATTGCGTTGTTCCTTAATCTTCGAATTGGATCCAGCTTATTATTTTTTGCAGACTGTAAGAGCAATTTTATAAAAGTAAGCTTGAACTTTCGATTATGTCAAATAGAATTTCCGATGCTGGAGCTCCCAAAGAACATACAAAACGAAAGTATGTTTCGATGTCCATCAAACAAAAAGTGGAATTGCTCCAAAAAATGGATAAAGGCATAGCCTTTGTTTATCTAACCATTCCGAAATCTGTTTATCAATTCCACGCTGCTCTGCGGGGGGGGGGGGGGGGACATCGCGGCGCGCAACTGGAACTGAAGTTGATCTGTCAGCACTATCGTTATCTTCAGGGCAGATGTTTTTATTTCATTCGGCTTATAATTCCTTATTAAATGTAGTATTTCATCTCGATGTACTCCATCTTTGATATGATTTAAATCAAATTCCTCGTCATTATAAATATCATGAATACAAATCAAATAGTTTTTCTGGTTGCAATTTTTCTAATATTCGGTTATGCATAATGTATGCTTTACGCATGCATGCGTTGAAAGAAATGCTTAATAAAGTAAACAAATAAATATTAAGCTTTTTTTTTTGTAAATTTTGATACCCTTTAGATCATAATTGCTCATTATTTTATAAATTGCGGTTTTATATTTTTAATTTTATAATTTCTGCATGCCATCTTACCAGATTTAAACTGATGATCTATAATCCGGAAAAATCGATAATTCGGAATCACCGAAGTCCTGACGAGTCCGGATTAAAGACTTGACGGAACTATTTGATTTATATTCGTTATATTCGTGACTGTATTTCATCTGAAACTAAATGTTTTCATATAGATTATAGCACTATCAAAGGCATCTAATTTAAAATTTTACTCTACTTTGCATTCATCAAATTAACATATTTCATAACGTTATTTATGACTGATCATTTGCTCATGAAGTATGATGAATTAGAAAGTGGAATAGAATCGAAACTTTAATGAATAATTAAATAATTATTCTGCCACATAGCTCCTTGAGAAGCTTCTATAGCTACTTGGGAAAATGTACTCTTTAAGCAGTGTCTTGTAGCTGATAGAACATGTAGCATCTGTTTACACAAATAATTAAATAATTTTTTAGATTATCTGTACCTAAAAAGCACTACATAATATTAATTATCATAATACAAAAATGTAGAATAGAAAAATGAAAGGGGAGGCAACAGCATTTTCTAGCGAAAATATACATAATGAAAAGCATACATGCATATATTGAAATACACATAAGAGTCAGAATAAATAAACCTAAGCAAAATATTAAAAGAATGCTCACCAATATGCACTATACGGCCCATATGTTTTAAGCATTTCTGAGCTCGGATAAAATCTGCCCCAGAAAGACAATCTAAGATAACATTCACCCCTAGATAATGAAAAAATATTTCACAAGAATGAATAAAAATTTACACCTATAAAATAATTCCCCCCCCCCCAATTTTAGTACAAAATACAAAGTACCTTCAGGTGAAACACGCAATACCTCCTCTACAAAATCAATTTTTAAATAGTCAATGGGATAATCAACTCCATTTTCCTTAATAAGATCATGTTTACTTGAAGATGCAGTGCCAAAAACTGTCACATTTTCCACAGTTTTAGCAATCTGAGTGCCAGCCCATCCAACACCTCCTAAAATGATTATCGATTTTAACATCAGAATAAAACTATATACATAAATGTGTGTATATGCATCTTTTTAAATCTAGCAGAAAGAAAATTCATTATTAAAATCATAATGATGCAACATACTTGTTTTTTGAAACTTGAAAATGTTGAATAAATGTCTGCATATTTAATAAATTAAATCTCCCTAAATTAGTATTTATTGTTTAAATATTTGACACAGCTAGAAATTAATGTAAAGCTTAAATATTAAATGCACAGAATTTTACATAAATTATAGATATATTAAACATTAAAAAAACTATAATGAATGATTGAAATTTTATCATTTTACAGATATAAATTGTACATGATAAAAATGACTGCATTGACGATATAAATTGTACAGCTTTCAGAATTACTGCAATTTGAAATACACTTGTTATTACACCAGGGGTAATATTTTAGGAACAAGCAGCACAAATAGTCTCCTCCCCCATTTTATATAAATAAAAGTTTATTAGCTTTTAAACAATATATTAAAACTTTAATAACAAAATTTTATAAAAAATTTCAATACTTCTGACTATTCAGCTACTTTATAAAAACATTACAAAATTTTTCATTACAATTATAACTCAGAGCAACTGAAATAAAGAAAACTGAAATCTTATCAAATGCAGTTATAACTTTTCAGTTCTCTATTTTTTTTTTTTTAATAAGTCTCCTTTTAAAGGCCTTAAATATTCTCTAACCTGGTTTTTGAAATATGCAAAAATGTCCAAGTTTTTACTTCTCACTATTGAATTTTGGTTATTAAAATTACAACTGAAGGCTATTGAAAACCAATTTGAACTGAAATACTGTATATGTAGCATAAAAACTTCATGAATTTTAAAAACTGGATGGAATATCATATACACTATCATTTTTGTATTTAGGCTTTTTTCACTTTGAAATATATATATATGTAAATAATAATCATTGTAACTGCAATTTAGTAAAAGTTAAGAATCAAGTTAAAATAAATATGAATTTACACAAGACTAATGAAATCACATACATGATAAACAATATTTATTTTCTCTGTCAAACATGTGTTGTTAAGGGTTATTTATTACTTGAAATCAAATATTGTACTTAAAAGCCCTGTTGAAATGAAAGTATAAATTTAATAAAATACTAAATACCAAATTTCAAAAGTAGTTATATTAAAGAGAATGAAAGATTTATTTAAATTGAAAATCACTAGAGAGAATACAAGTACACACACACACATATATATCTTGAACAAATTAAAAATCGAAAATTAATATGCCTTTAAATACACTGCTTTAATATGTCACAGGTTATAGATATGTTCTGTTACTGGATATAGTTACAAAATTTCTTAAATCTTTAGAACCCTAAAATTATTCATGAGCAGTCAGTTTCTTTGTTTTAAAAACAAATGATTGAGAATGGAATGTACTTTCTGCAAACTTGGAAGTTTTTGCTTTTATGGCAAACAATAATATTCATGAGAAATTCAAAAGTGAACAAATTTGAGAACAGAATTCTTCCAAAAAACTATGCATGTGAATAAATTTGAGAAACTAACAAATTATATTGTATGAGAAGGCAAGAAGAATCCATTCATGAAGGTATTGAAATGTTGTGATCTTTACTTCTCCCTAAAAATGCGCTTGCAAAAACATCAGCCCTCATTTAATTCATAATACCAGAAAAGAGAAAAATGTGACACACACACTTCAAAAATAATAAAAGATTACTGTAAAAATATAAGTGTGCCCTACATGAAAATTAATAAACAAAAAATATGAAACCATGCAGAAAACTACATAAATAAAATCTAAGGCCACACAAAAATGTTAGTTTTGTTTTGGTTCAATTCTTATAATAGATTAGTAGCATAAAAGTTTTATTTTTTTGAGTGGCTTTTCTCTAAACACAGAAGTACAATGTTGATTAGAATGCAAGTTATTTTTTCCCTTGAAATATATTTCTGAAAATCATACTTGTCTTATACACTGACTACCAATAAGTATTTGGACACCTAGGCAAATGACGATATCTGTGGTCCTAAGGTACGTCACGGACTCCGCCGGCATATATCGTGTAGGAAGCAGCATCGGCTTTAGTCGCATGCAAGATGCCTCGCAGTTCGGAGTCTATGATTTCGAGAAAGATATAATTATCGGGTATCACAAATGTGGCCGATCCTTAAGGAACATATCTAGCGATCTGAAGTACCCAAACTCGACAGTGACCTATGTGATTAAGAAGTGGAAGGTGAACGGTGATTGTCGGAATGTGACCCGAGTCGGCAGACCAACAAAACTGGGAGATAGAGACCAACGAGTGCTGTGCAGAGAAATTCGGAATAACCGCCCCAAACGATGGCCCTCATCCGCAAAGAGTTTCAACAGGCATCCGGGAGTTTGTTTCAATGAATACCATCCGTAAGGAAGCACATCTGCTTGGTTTTCATGGTCGTGCTGCTTCCCATCAGCCTTTGATCATAAAGTCTAATTGTGCTGTCCTGTTTGTATGAAGTGTCCTGTTTGTATGAAGGAAATACGTATGGCTCCATAATGGATACCAGCATTATGGAGGATATTTTTTACTCTTATTTTTGTGAATTTATGTGGCGATGCCAGTATACAGATTCTAGTTGAGATAATTTTAGGAAGTTTTTGGATGCTGTTAAGGAATTTTGTTTGACTGAAGACACGGAAATTTCTAAATGAGGTAAGTGGATATTTCCGTTGTGATGGATATTTCCGCTAAGATGAATTTCCTTTTTTATGTTATTTCATTGTTCGATTTAAAATGTAGTTTATTGAGATTACATAGTTTTTGTTTGGCTCCTTGATTTTTTAAGTGAAAACAGATCGATGTGTACATGGACAAAGTCAAGGGACTGCGCAATGCCAAGTTTGTGCAATTCTTTGACTTGTTATTTTGGCTTAATGTAGTGGCAATTTTGATGCAAAAAACGAGGCTACACAAAGCCAAAACAACAAGTCAAAGAACTGCACAAATACGGTGTCCATGTACCACCAAAAATCACCAAGTTTCACCAAGGGGCACCCGTAAATATATTTTTAACTATATTTTAAGTATATATTTTTATATATAAACATGTTTAGTTAACTAAACATGAAGTTCCCCTCAGGCTCAATGCACCTGAATGTGTTCCAAAACATAGTGTACCCGGAGTGTTAAATATTCTAGTTTTCTCTTCTTTCATACAATAACTAAATGAAATGGAGTATTTTCAATATTGGAATTAACATTTGGGAAACAAACATGTAAGTATAACATAAAAATATTAGAGTAGCAAATATCTTTGAATAGTTTTTAGCTAAAACAACTGGAATTAGATCTGACATCAATAATGCATTATACAGTCAAAAGTCTTTAAACCGAACTCTTCGGGACTTCGGTGATTCCGGTTTATAGATCATCAGTTTAAATCTGGTAAGATGGCATGCAGAAATTATAAAATTAAAAATATGAAACCGTAATTTATGAAATAAAGAGCAATTATGATCTAAAGGGTATCAAAATTTACATAAAAAAGCTTAATATTTATTTGTTTATTTTATTAAACATTTCTTTCAACGCGCGCATGGGTAAAGCATACCTTACGCATAGCCGAAATTAGAAAATTGCAACCAGAAAACTATTTGATGGGTATTCATGATATTTATAATGATGAGAAATTTGATTTAAATCATATCAAAGACTGGAGTACATCGAGATGAAATACTATATTTAATAAGGAATTATAAGCCAAATAAAATAAAAACATCTGCCCTGAAGATAAGGATAGTGCTGACAGATCAACTTCCAGTTCATTGCGTGCCACGATGTCCACCCCCCCCCCCCCCCCCCCGCCCCCGCAGAGCAGCGTGAAATTGATAAACAGATTTTGGAATGGTTAGAGAAACAAAGGATATGCCTTTATCCATTTTTTGAAGCAATTCCACTTTTTGTTTGATAGACATCGAAACATGCTTTCACTTTGTAGATCCTTTGGCAGCTCCAGAATCGGAAATTCTTTTTGACATAATCGAAAGTTCAAGATTACTTTTATAAAATTGATCTAACAGCCTGCAAAAAATAATAAGCCTGATCCAATTAGAAGATTAAGGAACAACACAATCTGCAACATTAACTGAAATAGATAATTAGATACTTTTAGCTTAACTTATACTGTCCGTTATACATTAAACACGCATGCGTTAATGTATTATGCACATGCGTAAATGCATTATGCATTTATGCATGCGCAGAAAGTTTGTAGCTTTGAGGTCCGGATTATGGACGTCCAGATTAAAGACTTTTGACTGTATAGCCAAAAGAACACCAGACACTTTGGATTTTAGACATTTTTACAAATTTCTACAGAAGTGTTTCATCAAACATTTCTGTAGAACTTGTTTTTATATAACTGTGGCCATATAAATAGCATACTTCCTTTTCCAGCAAAATTTTACTCATAAGTGCATTTAGAAAACTAACAACAATAATTAAGAAGGATAAATACTTTTTATCACTATGTATCATAAAAAATCAGGAAATGCCCTGTGACGTTTCCAAAATATTTTACAAGACCTGTGCAATATTAGTATGTATTTTTGTTAACACGTGTATCAATGAAAATATAAAGGCTTCTTTAAAAAAAAAAAAGATAATTTCAACCAAATTTTCAACCAGTTTTCAACCAAATTTGAAAAAACTTACAAAAAAGGTAATATTGTTCAAGAGAAATATTAAACTGAAATCAGAAACGATATAAAGATGGACAAGAGGGTTGCCTTTAATTCCCTGAAAGATTCTGTTGCATTCCCATGCTGTTAAAACAAAATATTACACTTCAGAAAATATCAACTAAGTCTAACCTGAAATGGTAGTACTTGTGATGTAGGTTTTATGATCAAAGTCTACCCATCTCAAATGAGTCATACAACTTGAAACCAATATCAGTCTCAGGTTTTATATACATACAAGGTATTTTCTCACCCCTTTCCACATGCCTTTGTGGTGTACCTGGAAGCATGCCTGACACATATTTGGGAGGTCAGGAGTTCAAATCCAGACATTTGGAGCATTGCAGATTTCTGTAGCTTCTTGATATCAAAAAAAAAAAAAAAAAAAAAAAAAAAAAAAAAAAAAAAAAAACTAATGACTCAACAACATCATGGTTGTTTTTCCACTCAATATGATAAACGTTTTAGAAATATCTAAATATCTACATATGACAAAATAACGCAGATGGTTGTTGATAATCTGATATTAGATGAGCGCTTCATTAGGGAATGTACCAATTCACTCTTTTAATCATGTCCAAGAAAACTGCTGCATAGATAATTAGAAATTGTGATGTAGTGAATGACCAGATGGAATTTTGGAAAAGCACAACTAGCTTGGTAGTTGAACATAATCTATTTTTGGATGGCGAATTTCTTAGCACATGTTCTGTTAACTGATAGAACACTAGGGGATGCTAAACATGGCCCGTAATTTCAGATATGCAATTATGTCTTACATAAGGAAGAATAGCTAGCATAGGCTAAGCGGTACATTGCTAGCAGGAAGGCAAAATGGCAAAAGTGCATAGTTGGTTGCAGTACTTTTAAAGCTTGGAAAGTCTTTGTTTTAATTCCAGACAGTTATTCAGCAAAAGTTTACAGCAGTGCAGATACTGAACGGAAAGCGCAGACGCCTTGAAATGGTCAATGCCTAAGAATTGGTAATTTAAAGGTCTATTATCAATTTGTTCCAATTAAGTTTTAATTTGTTAATAAATTTTCTTCATATTTTTATAGCTTAGACACACATATATCTATAAATATAAAATTCTTAAAATTCATAACTTTGAATTTGGAAATGCAGTAACTTGAACTTTAGATCCAACATACAACTCTAATGAATAAGAAAACTAAAAAGAAATCTACGATAACAACAATAAAAATACATCTGTATAATTCCTTAATAAAAACATTAAAAAACTACTTTGAAAAGCATATAAAATCTTGAAATAACAACATATTTTAAAAGTATTTTAAAGTAGTAAACATTTAATATAACTACTGAATATTTTATTCGCATATAAATCTTAAATTTATAAGCAGCATTTTTCTTTTCATGTTTCTCTTTTTATAGTTTAATTCGTTTTTCATTCATTTTACCTGCAGCTGCTTGAATAAGAACACTCTGCCCAGGTCTCAAGTTGCCAAAATCCATAAGAACAAGATAAGCAGTCAAATAATTTGCAATAATGCAATTTGCTTCATAATATGTCATATTTTCAGGCATATGGTAACATTGGGATTTATGAACATCAACAAATTCACTCCACATTCCATATTTGAAACTCCAACATAATACTCTGTCACCAACCTATAATAATTAAAATATCAATAACAAACTAAAATTAAACAATTTTGTTCTTTAAGTACTAGTTTCCTCAGATTAATAAAATTTATAGGAAAAGTATCCTTATAGTTAAGTCTCAAAACTAATAAAGAAAAAGATAGCTTTAAATCACTGTTTTCTTAATTATTTTTAAGAATAACTAATGAAATGATTCCTCCTAAAGATTTATGCTAATAAATGAGATTTTAATGGGCACTGTACATAACTTCTGAATATGCAAGACGGAATGAAAATGAAAGTTCAAAATTGGCATATCAGACACAGTTTTCTGCAAGTTAGGAGCACATCAAAAGATATATACCAGACACGGCCAAACTGCAGCTCTACAACACCTTAACTGTGGCTTGTGAGCTACTTGCGATCCTTTGCCAACTGAAATGCAACTTGTTTTGTATAAACATAGTTTAATTTTCTAATACAAATGGAATTTGAAATAGAAATCATGCAATGCCACATTTCTTTATTAATCCTAACTTAATTTCCGATATTATGTATGTAAAAATTTGATAGATTTCAAAATATCTAATGCTGGCTTACTGTCAGAGCAACAAATACGTAAATATTACAAATAAGCCCATTTCTGGTTACAGTCAAAAGGCTTTAATCCGGACTCGTCGGAACTTCGGTGATTCCGGATTATAGATCATCAGTTTAAATCAGGTAAGATGGCATGCAAAAATTATAAAATTAAAAATATGAAACCGTAATTTATAAAATAATGAGCAATTATGATCTAAAGGGTATCAAAATTTACAAAAAAAAAAGCTTAATATTAATTTGTTTACTTTATTAAGCATTTCTTTCAACGCACGCATGCGTAAAGCATACATTATGCATAACCGAAATTAGAAAATTGCAACCAGAAAACTATTTGATTTGTATTCGTGATATTTATAATGAGAAGGAATTTGATTTAAATCATATCAAAGACGGAGTACATCGAGATGAAATACTACATTTAATAAGGAATTATAAGCCGAATGAAATAAAAACATCTGCCCTGAAAAAAATGATAGTGCTGACAGATCAACTTCCAGTTCATTGCACGCCGCGACGTTTCCCCTCTCCTCCCCCCCACGCAGAGCAACATGGAATTGATAAACAGATTTCGGAACGGTTAGATAAACAAAGGATATGCCTTTATCCATTTTTTGGAGCAATTCCACTTTTTGTTTGATGGACATCGAAACATACTTTCGTTTCTAGATCCTTTGGGAGCTCCAGCATCGGAAATTCTATTTGACATAATCGAAAGTTCAAGCTTACTTTTATAAAATTGCTCTTACAGTCTGCAAAAAATAATAAGCCGGATCCAATTCGAAGATTAAGGAACAACGCAATCATCAACATTAACTGAAATAGATAATTAGATAATTTTAGCTTATACCATCCGTTATACATTAAACGCGCACGGGAAAACGTATTCTGCGCTTGTGCACACGCATATGCGCAGTCATAAAGGTCTTACGCGCACGCGTAAACGCCTATGCGCATGTGTCAACGCAGTGCATGCGCAGAAAGTTTTTAGCTTTGAGGTCCGGATTATGGGTGTCCGAATTAACGACTTTTGACTGTATTACTATTCTAGTTATGTTGCTTTTTGAACAGGTAATGAATGGTCATCAGAATACACTAATATGAAGTTTATCTAAGACTCGGTGCTAATATTTTTATTTAATTACTCTTCCTAACATTTTATCTCTCAAGTTAATTTTACTTCAGGCAGTAGCTGCTTACAGTCCTGTGTGATCCCATTGTTCACAACAGTTGTAATCCACCTGGAAGATTTGCTATTCGTTGTAGGGTACTACTTTTATTCAGTCCTTAAATGGCGTGAGTAACTGCTGAAGAATTACAGCCGAAAACATCGTGGAGGAAAAAACGTAAAGCGAAATCATCGTGGTACAAAACATTGTGGAAGAAATCAAAGCAAAAACATTGCAGCTCTAAAATATTGTGGTCGAAAATAAAGCAATTAAAAAACCTCCCAGTTTAACATCGTCGTTGAAAACATCGCATTAAAAAATAAAGTTCCTAGAAATCATTGCATGACTATAACATTGCAGACATGTGTTTTTCAGGATTTAATACTTTCAAATGGATATTCGCATAATGATTTGTGAGCACAAGATGGAAAGAAGGATAATTTTTTACTTCAATTTTTTTATTAACTAATAAATTTACTACGTTAGAGCCATAAAAACATTAAATTTAAACAAAAAAGAAATAATTTTTATAAGAGTATCAGATTAACAAAAGGGAAGAAAATAATCTCATAATTAGCAATTTTTTATAGATATGGGCATGCAGTTACTTATCTTCCTTTTTCTAATCGTTTTTAGATTATACTTTTCATGAGAAATTAGCAGTAAAACTTAATAAAAAATTATTAATAACCTTTGTTAGTTAACTATATCAGGTTAAAATCCTAATAAGTGCTATAAATTGAATTACTTTTAATGCTTAAGTTTCCATTTTACATTTTTAGCAAATATGTATTAGTTAATAAAAAATATCCTTCTTTCTATCATGAGAGCACAAATCATTATGAGAGTATCCATTTACAATCATTAAAGCCTGAAAAATGCATGTCTGGAATGTTATTGACATGCAATGATTTGTAGGTACTTTATTTTTCACCACAATGTTTTTAAAACTGCGAAGTTTTTGAACCACTTTATTTTCAAAGATGATATTTTGGCCTTTCGTTGTTTTCTCCGTGACGTTTTCGTCGAACACCGCTGAAGAAACCTGTTTCTCCTTGCAGTCCATATAGAGCTCTTTTAATCTGTGGAAGAATTTTAAGAGGATATATATATATATTTTGAGTGAACATTCAGCCTCTTACTTGGTTAGGAGACTTAATCTCAATTTTCTGCGGAACTCCTTTAAATTAATTTCCTATCCCTAAGTAAGTCAGGCAATTTTATGCAATTGCTTCATCTATTTCGCAACCATTCACAATAATATGCTTCATGAATACTTTTCCCACATGAAACTCTATTATTTGTAATAATTCCTTGGTAATCCTAGGCAGAGATCATAATTTATTTTACCAATAGTTATGCATGCTGAAATATTTGGAGGCATGAGAAGAATCACTGATTTGATGACAATTTAAATTTTAGTCAAAATGTTTATTTCCCATTTTATCAAATATTGTTATTCCAGATAGAGATCAATCACCTTAATCATTAAATTTTCATATCAATAACATTGCATCAAGGAATGAGGGATCAAGAGAATACAAATATCTATCTTTTCCGAAGTTTCTGTCAAAATCGGCATATTGATATTGGCGAAATCTCTTTAGCTTGCGATATTTTCTTGTATTTTTCAATTTCTTGTTTTATGACCTTCTTTCTTTCTGCCTCGCACTAGGTAAGAGGCACTTTGCTGCACTAGGTTAGTTGCTGGTAAATATTGCACTACGTTAGAGGCATTTTACTGCCTGGTATGTTTAAAATTTTTCACTGCTTAGTACTACTGCTCTGCAGCTGCACCGGTTACCCTGGCTCTGATGCCAGCAATACACTTCTTTTAATCTGTTGATATTTTTTGTCTTCCTAATTTTCAATCATCATGTACATTTGACACGTCCTTCATGAAAGCTTAGTAGCCAAAAGGAGAGTTGTACAATGATCTATTGCTTAATCACTACAAATTTGAGGCAATAATGTGAAATTTTGCTCCTGTAAATGTTTTAAAGTCTGATCTTTTATTTTCTAAAGTATCCTCTCCCTACAGATTCCATTTCAAACTCCATTTGAGATTTATTTTCTGTACACAGGTTAGGTAATCCAATGGAAAGTTGTACTATGTAACCGTTAGGCTGATAATAATTTATTTAAAACTTTCTTCTGTGTTATTTTACTTAGAAATTCAAGATGAGATGGTAAGTTATTTGACCACCTATATTGTCTAGCAGTTAGAATATGGTGGATCTGTTCACCTATTTGGCAAAAGCTTAGAAACTAAAACTATTGTGCAGACGTCTGCCATGATACAAAAGGGCTTCACATTGAACAACTGTGCATATCCATAGAAATATGAAGAGTTATGCATTCACGTTATATCTGCATTTGTGAAATAAATGAATTATGGTGTTCTGTAACATTAGTTTTGATTTGCCATGTATTTGAAAAACAGCTCATTATTAAACAGCTACGTTGAAGAGTTCGGCTGGTAGACAGATGGAATATGTGCTTGATGAAGCGTTTATATAGCCTGGCATGAACTACTAAATTTATTAGCAATAGGTAACGTATGTCCAGAATTACCATAACGATTCAAGAGGTGGTTTTGAGAATTTTCAATGATGCGCATGAACTTTGTTATCTATGTCCAAAATTAACAGGACAATTGGAGAGATAGTTTCAAGAATTTTCAATGATGCGCATGAAATTCATTATCTACGCCTAAAATGAACAGGACAATTTGAGAATTTTCAATGATGCACAGATGATTACTAAAAAACTGTGGCAGATTCCATTGGACGCCACACTGAAATACTGTATCAGTCAGGACCACCATGAGAAATACTGATTATTCCAATACCATTGAAATTGCAATCATATTCTTTTTTTAGTAAATTCTTCTATACTGGGTATCAGTAAAAAAAAGTTATCCCAAAGTTTTACGAAAAAAGTTTAATGATTTCTTAGGATAGGCTCCAAAGATTCATATGATCTCAGTATGTTGGTCCTTATGTTAATTGTGTGGAGAAACAAAATTACTTTTAAGCAAAAGCCTAAACAGATTACTAGCTTATTTTTAAATAAATATTCTTTCTTGAATAACAGTTTCTCTACAGTGTGCATTGACGTGTATTTAATTTATTCTTTCTAAAAAACTGCTCATGAGTTTAAAAAAAAACACTCAATTTTCTTTTATATAATGGTTTGTAATTTACTCAAATAACATTTTTTTATGTAATTGTAGACCAGTGAATATGCTTTCGATTCATTTTACTTCTACTAAAGGGGGAAAAAAATTATAAACAGAGAGGTATAAAGGAAATCAGAAGAAAATATTTGGTTTCTCTACCTGATGGAAAAATGCTCAGTTGCCCAGGGCAAGAGTCAGAAATTTTTATTTTCTTGGGACTTAACTTTTCTCAGCATAAAACAGTAGATATAAGACGTATTTATTCTATTTATATGTAATCATGTTAATCACATATTCATTAATTTACATCAAAAGTTTCTTTATATTTATACCTGTATCATTATTTTTGAAACAATATAAATTTGGACTTGCAGCTCTTGAATGTTCATAAAATCCATCATGCGACTCCCATTGTCTCGAAGTTTGGCCATCCCTGATATATACCATATATGTAGGGTTACCATATTTTAAGAACAAGAGCTTCAGGTTATGCATATTTGTGTGTGGGGAGGGCACATTAAGTAAAAAAGTTGAGTGAAAAATGGAATGGAGTAAAAATAAATCAAGTAAAAAACTGAAATGGAATCTAATTAAAAATATGCTTTACTCAATAATACCAACACTTTTTATCAATGCAATCCTGTATTTAATAAACTTTAATTAATAAACATTAATTAAAATGTTATGTAAAAATTTACTGATGAAAATATTTATCTCCATTTCTTCTCCCAAAATTGTCTATAGATGGACATGTTTAGGACAATTAATGAAAAATTCATTTTAGAGAGTAGAAAGCCTCTTTTTGAATGTCGTACAAACCTGTATGGCAGATAAAAAAAATGGTATCAAGGAATAAAATAAACTTATACAGCACTCACAAAATATCCAATGCATTAAAAAATAGACAAAATATATTTTTTGCAGCATTTCTACTCTGATGTGGATGCCTGGGATTCTTGTTTATGTTCCACTCAAGCATACTTTTCATTAGCTAATATTTTGCTTAGAAACTCTTTTCTGCATTCATGAAATATGTATGAAAAATCATTATATGAATATTTGAAATTCACTTCCAAATTTAAATTAATTTTTTTTTGGTGTGTTGTAACTGGTTTTTTTGCTTAAGGGAAAATGTTGTTCATTGTTGAAAACAATCCTTTATGACCTAGTGTATTTAATGGTGAACTGATTAACTGCACATACAATGAGTTTCATTTAATAATCAGACTTTGGACAAAATTATATAAATCATGAATGTCTGATAACTTTACATATATAGCAATAATGCTGTATTCAAATGCACAAACCAATATGGTTTGGGCACTTCAGTAATGATGAAAGGCAGCTGGAAAAGCAAAATGTTTGGGAAGATCTCTAAAGCTAAAAGACAACAACTTGTTGGAAGCTATTGAGAGTGATGTCAATATGATCGTAGTAGAATTGGTGGCATAGTGTCGTACTAAGAAAAGTACTCAAGAAACACATTCATGCTTTGAAATCTGAGATCTACTTGGACAATTTATTCCATGATTTACTAAAAAGAGGTACGGATGATTCAAGGTTTTTCTGCAGAATTTAATAAAGAATGAATTATATTACATTTTAGTTACTCATAAAAAATATAATAAAATAACAATGTAACAAATTAACTTCTTAGTTTTTCCTTGTTAAATATTTCTACTTATATTCAACATAAGGAAAATTTGAAAATTCTTGCTGTTTTTATAATAAAAGTTTCACAGACAGCAGTAGTTTAAATACTTGGCATACAAAAAGTTGTATGTTGTGTTGGCAACAGTGTGATTTAATGCATATTAAAATTATATCTTATAAATTTTTGACTTTCTGATTTTTAAATAAGAAGAATAAAAAGGTTAATATATCAATTTCATAATATTTGTGGAAAAATTTTTCATTCATCACCAGAGCCAGCATAATAGTTGGTGCAAAAGCACACTGATAACATAGTTTAGGGGCAGCAAAATTTTAGAATTTAGAGTGGCATCCAGCAGCAAAATTTAAGAATGGAAAAATTTTTTACAATTTAGGGAGGCATGGAGTGGTAGAATTTAGAGGCACAAAAATCTTTAAAGCTTAAAGAATTACTAAGTGGCAGAAATTAGGACCTGCAAAGCATGCATTGGGCAGCAAAAAGCTATATGCTGATATTGTTCATCCCCTAAGTAAGGTTTATTTTGCGCATGACTTACCTGCTAGAATACCTTTGATTAATTAGTATCCGAAAAATAATTGAATTGAGAAAGCTTGATGTTAAAAAGCAGGAAACTAGAATATAATTATCAATGGTTATTATCACATGCAACAAATAATTACATTTTGCTACACAAAACGAAATTTCTGAAACTGGCAGTCAATGGAAAAACATGAAACAAATCCTTAACAACTTCAGGACTATTTTGAATACAACAAAAATATAAAATGACGGCAATACATGCTTATACTGCATTTTATCACATATGTTTTTATACTTATTTTAAAACTTACTTTGAATTCACTAACATCCTCACCAATTTCTGATACTATACCAGCTCCTTCCAAGCCAAGAATAAATGGAGGTTTTATACCGTAAAATGTATATATTCCTTGTCTTGTATATAGATCAGAAAAATTCATACCGCATGCCTTAACTTCAATAATGACATATTCTTTTTGTGGACGCGGCTTCGTAATATTTTGCAGTTTAATTTTATCGTAACCACCGAAGCCAGTTAACATCAAAGCCTTTACAGTTTCTGTTGCTTGTTCTTCCGCTGAAAGGGAAGAAAAATAAAGACATATGGAATTAGAAATTTTAAATTAAAAAATTCACATTTTTTTAACATTTAAGCGCATAAAAAAACTTATAGATACAGAGAAAAAAAACAGATTGAAACACAATAATCATACCTTCCATAGCTTGCAAATTAATTTGTTTCACAGCAGTACAACAATCAGACCTGAATTGTCGCAAAAACGCCGGGAGCGAAATTCCCCAACTCACGTGATTTTGTTGATATTTTCTTTCCCGCGAAATTTTCAGAAGAGTTTGCTTCTTAACATGCAATGAGTCATAATTTATTGCGGCTCGTCATAGTTATTTACGAGTCGTGACTATTTATTTTAATAAAAACAATGAACTAAAGAAATCAATGCAAATTAATACATCTGACAATTCTGCTAGCGTAAAGATGCTTTAAAATTTTAAAGACTTTCTAAGTTTGTTTTTTCAGAATATGCCGTGAAAGAATAGTACTGCAATTTTGATTTCGTTTGAGGTTTTTACTTTTATTTATTTCCCTTTAAGGCTTGCCTTCACGTAATTGTTAATTCAATTACTGAGTCTAATTCTGAAGATCTACGCATAATCCAAAAGACTGACATCTTCAATAATTTCTGGGATCACGGCTAACTACAGTCACTGAGCTATGTGAAATATGAGCTGACTGAGTGAATCAATAGGTGAAATGTTAACTTAATGAGATATAATAATAACTTTATAAGTTTGTATAACTCACTAACTATGGTCTATAATTTTAGGATAGGTACTTCATGGCCATATTATTAATGGCTTGCCGCGTAACGATTTGTTAAAATCGTTAGTATGTTATTTTACGGTTTCTTAAAATACTCACATTTGCTAAAATTCACTAAATCCCTCTTTGTGGTAATGACGAGACTCATTACGATCATAAATGAGCAAAGGATGTTGTCGTAAAGACCTTGAAGTGCCTATTTTAAAGTAACAGAAGCTAACTAATTTAGCCTGAGATGCTGAGTGAGCCAATAGCCAATAAGAATACTTTCAGAAATCGTATATTTTACTCCAGGGTGGACAGAGTGTTGTGTCTTGCGGTGTGGGTTCAGTGAAATGCATGACACAATCAAATAGACTAGTTCACGGCACAGACATTTATTTCTAACTAACTCATAAGACTGACTGATAACTTATAGCCAGAATACCACTGAGGTCAGTAGTTTATCTGGCAAAACTCATAAGACAGCAGCGATGCGCTATTTACGCAGTTATATTACATTCTCCTCTACTCTCGTTCACAGAGGTTCTCAGATATAAGAGAGTACTGATATTTTTGAAATCAGATGCTACTTCCCTCCCCACTTATTTAGAGATTTAATCTCCGAGGAGCTTTGCGGATGCGCGAAGATCGTCTAAGTTCTGGCTGGGGTTGCTGAAACTCTTTATCAGGAGTCACTGGAATAACTGGCTCAGTTTTCCTTGGAACTGACGATGTTTCAAGTCCTGCTGAAGTGTGCACAGCTTCACTTCTTTGTTCGATGTCCTTGTCCGGAGCCTGTGGCTTTACGTTGCCATCTGAAGTAGCAGCCATACGAGGTTCATAGATTACCGGTGCAGACGGAACCTCGCTCCCTACCGATCTGGGGCCGTATCCCCCTACCGTGCGACGATATCTCGATACGAGAGTGACGTAGCAAGCGACTCCTTCTCGTTCGACTGTTACTAACGATTGAGCGAAAACTGGTATCCTCAAGCGCCTCTACGTGCAAAACGTTAAAGCTTTCGCCGATCGAAAGAGGTATTAGCTCCTCCTTCGCACCTTCCACATTTTGACGTCAAACGATAGTACAATAACCAATAAGAAGACTTGTTGAATAATAATCTTAACTTTAGTTTTTTTTTTTAAACAGATTTGTAAACAACGTATGTTTGTCCATCTCTTTTTAGAATAAGCCGTCATCCGGGATAACTTCTCGTCAGTTAGAGACATTTGTGTCTTTCATGGAAAGGCACCATGAAAGATACTACTATTTTATACACATCACACACATGCATAATTATGTATTATTATTTAAATTGCTGTTATTCATTTCCACCATGACCTTTTCAAGAAATTTAGGATCATTAAATAACTAAGTTTTCTGTAATCTTGTTCATTTGAAGTTTTTTAGGCAGCTTTAAGTTTTTTAATCTAAGATGTTTATCATTCAAGGGAAAAATCTGCTTGATTCAGACAAAAATTTTTAGTTTAGGTCAGTGTATTTAGATCAGGTTTATACACTTTTTGGTTACTTAACCCCCCGAGCGTTACGGCTTTTTCAGGAAACGGCATGAAAAATAATTGTGTTTACTCATCTGGTCTGTCGCAAAAACGGCAAGTACTTGACTCAAACTACTTCAAAAGCGGGCCCCTCTTACCATGTGGATATAATTAAGCTAATTCTCCCCTCCGTTGAATTTAGCGAGTGAAATTAGTTTTTCTCCTTATGGTATCTTCGTCACAGGATTGGTTGCTAAAATGTTATTTTATCTCCTATTTGGCTACGTTATAGTTTGCATACTAACACATATGCTGTATATTGCTCGTACCTTAATCAAGATATGTGCCGAATAAGAAAGTTAAATATGCATCAGTAATAGAAACTACGTAAAATGCTTTAAATTTCCAGTTTCTTTAAGGAATTGCTTCGATGAGGGGGGAAAAATTTATCTTGAATTCTTTACAGTTATTTTCTTAGAAAATACTTTTTAATGTACAAAGGGAATTTGTGAGAATTTTTGCCCTCATGTTCTAATTTTTCGAATACAAATTATTCGCAAATTATTTTAATATTATGTTTATATTTAGTTTTCAAATATTTTAAGTTTATTCCAGATTAAAGTATTAGATTTAAAAATAATTCTTTAGATTGCATCATAAATTTATTAGAAGTTAGTTATTTATGACATCGTTTTGACTTGGGAGAAATAAGTAAAGTATTGTATTCGCGAAAAATTTCGATTTTCATATTTCAAAGGAAATTTCCATTTTGATTAGTTCCATCCTGACGCTTACACGTACGTATATCGCATAACTTCATCATAAAATGCTGAAATTTTATATTTGGAATTTATGACTAGTTTTAGCGCGACGTGTGTCCGTACGTATGTATTCATGCATATCGCATATCTCAAAAACGGTAAACCGTAAAATGTTGAAAGTTTCTGTATGCGATTGCTACAACATCTAGTTGTGCACCTCCTTTTTTTTTGCAATCGGCAATTCCAAATGGGCATTTTGAAATGGAAGAGCCTATTTTATTTTCAAACGAAATAGGTTTAAATGAAGTTTAGCAAAAAATGTGTTTAATTTATTTGGCGTACAAGGAAGTCATGTGATGTCCGCATCAGATTTTTTAAGATGTTTCAAAATAAATAAATATATGGTTTGACTATCAAACGATCTCAAATATATGAGCTTTATTTGTTTGTAAATATTTTACAGGAAAGATAAGAAGTAATCTAAATAGCATATCTTGGAGAGAAACAAATTAAATACACTTTTTTTAAAGCAAAATTTAAAGAATAACTGATTAAATTTTCTTTAAATACCTTTTGTAAAATGTTATATATGAAACCAGATATTGTTTTCAGAAAGACAATTCGTAGAGCGATTAGGTTTTTTTGATGCTAAGGACGTGAAAAATGAGTAATGCCCTCGCCGGGATTCGAACCCGGACCACTCGAATACGCACTGAGAGTGCTACCATTACACCACGAAGGATGCTGTGAGAAGTTAGAAAATACCTTATATACTCCGCCCTTTTAAAAGCCGACTGGAAATTAGGAGACCCAACTGCCAAATCCTGGTGGTGAAGAATCATCATCCATCCCCCCTTTTTAGTTCGGATGACACTGTAGAACATTAGGTTGTTTGTAGAGGAGTCACATAAAAAAGAGCAAAGCCCTAGCCGGAACTCGAACCTTGGACCTCTCGAATATACGCCAAATGCACTACATTACACCTCGAAGGCATGCAGAAAGGAGGGAGAAAATACCTCATAACTTTAAGGAGGAAGTATGGTTTTAAAATGATTATAGCACAATAATTTTCGTCTTAAATTGTCTTTCTGAAAAATACTTTTTGTAATACTCATTCTATAGTTCATCTAAAGCAATATTTTCTATACATAAATTTGATATTCTTAAAGTTATGTTACCTAAATGTATTTATAAGCAGTCAATTAAAACACAATATAACAACTGCACAAGATCTACGTAAAGATCCATTTCTATGGTCTATTTCCGTATATTCTATTATCCGTTTCTGTCTATTCTATGATCAGCCAAAATAGAATTATAATTATCCTCTTGAACTGGTAAAATATGTCAATATGGCATATGCGAACAAGTAAAATGATCTCATTACTGTAAGGGATGTTAAATGTGAAACTTCCTTTAAAAAGGCGGCAAAACATATGACAGTTTTAGGTTTAGTTTAGTTTATTTGATTACGGCAAAGTAAGAAAGTGTTATCTTACTAATGAAAGTATGTCTTCGTGGAGAACTTCCCAAGGAAAATTGTCTGGTATTGAACCACAGAAGGAAAATCATCGAAGCATCCATGCAGTCAACCTGTTTGCCAGAACTTGAGTCCGGGTCGAACTACCAGTGTTCAACGATATTACCGCTCGACCTTTGGCTAGCCCATATCTATTTAGGAAAATGGGACTTTGCGTGCTATGTTAAATTTTTAAATCTATGTGACATGCAAATTATTTAGCCGATGCAATGTAATAGCAAATTATTTAATGACTCGATTCTTGTAGTTTTCTACGAAACTGGGTTTTCTGATGGCTGACTGGATAAGACCACAAAATTTGGTCCTTCGATACGGATTCGAATCATGGCGTACATCCTGGCTACATAGGAACTTTTTAGGATCTCTGTGTGAAAAACAATTATTAGCCAAGTTTCCTTTCAGAATCTTCCACGAAAGGCATTCCACTTCTTAGTCAGATGATTCAAGAATGTTTCATCGTTTTCAATTAAAACAAACAAGCTTTTTAGGAAATGCGACGTGAAGTATACATTAATCATTTATTTTTTCCAAAATATGTTCATTAAAAATCTATTTAACAATGATTATTTTGTTTATATATCCTAATAAATTATGAATATTTTTTTAGTTTTTGTTATCTCTGTTTCTGTGTATAATAAAAATTCAAGCATTCAGAATTCAGCACAAAAATAAAATCTTTCCATAGTAACAAATATAAC